GGAAAAAGGGGAGGTGTTAGATGAGGTGCAGACACAGCTGATACGTATAAAGGGTCTCTCCTACACCATGGCTACACCAGCATGCCTCTGTAGGGGGTTACTTGGTCTGCTCCAACTTGCTTCAGGGTGCCCAGACACCAGCCAGCTGAGCCTGTCCTCCACGGAGAAGTGGCCGCATGTCCCTGGGAGAACAGAGCAGAAAGCCAGGTGGATGCCCTAAGGGAAGGTACCACCTGGGGTACACAGAGAACGTCTATCTGGAAGAAGGAGTCTAGAAAGGTCTGCCTGACCAGGGGAGCTGCTCTGGAAGAACAAGTCTAGAAAGGTCTGCCCGACCAGGGGAGCTGCCTCTGCTCACAGCCCTGGAGGACATCGGCTTGAGTCCTAGGCAAGGTGCAACATTGCTCTCCCTCGCTTGGCTGTCTCTACATCAAACTGGGCATCTTTCTGTGTGCTATGTAGGATTAACCAAGTAGAGGTGGTTTGGTCTGACTTACAACAGCTGAGGTATGGCCTTTTAGGACTAAGGACAAACAAATGTTTAGCAAACTTTCAGAAAGACGTTATTTTCCAGTTGGCGTATTGAAGCTGCCGTGTGCACTGTGGTTTCTTTGGGTGACCGGCCAGCTCTCCTCTTCCTGATTCACAGCACTTCAAAATGCCCTCAGATCGCTCAGACTGCCGGTTGGATTTTCAGATGTGAGCCCTTCTGTGTGCTACAAGGCAGCCGGATAAGTCTTATGTTAGGGGTGTTGCAGATTATTCACGATCCATGGGAGCACTCTTTAAAACCAGGAAGAATCCCCCGCTGCCTATGAAACTCGGAGAGAAATAATGTCCCCAGCAGGAGCCCGGAGGGGCTTTAAACAACGGTGGACATTGACAAAACATGCTGTATGATTTGGAAGTACAAGGGAAGCAAGGGATATTATTTTTTTTTAGCGACAAAACCTAGGAAGGCAGCAGGGAGATTGCACAACATCCCCGCAGCCAGGGACCCCCAGCCGCAGGAGCTGTATTTTCCAAAAACCCAGCAATGCCAAACAACTTCTGGGCCAAACCGAACCCTCTAAAATGCTTCGTCCTGGCTGCAGAATGATCTTAGGGAGAGATTTGGGGCCAGAGCTCACTGAAATGAGAGGAAAGGCAGTCGCTTTCCAATGCGATGGCATCTTTACAAGGCAGTTGGGTTTCTACAGGAAGCTCTGCAAGGGGAAGCTTTTGGGGAGCGATGTTTGTCCTGCTCTTCCTAAACAGCTGTACTTATTTCTAGACCGTGTTAGACCTGCGGCTTGGTAAAACGTGGTGTCGTGGTGACATGGGCGAGGGTTTGCTTTCATAAACTGGCCGCTGGGCTCTGCAGGCTGCTTTCTGCACAGAGGGAACCTGTCCGTTCAGCCCTTGCTCCGTGTAAGGTTGCACAGAACTAGATGTACCCTCCCGTAACTTGCCTTTTCGGTCCGCTGAGCACTACTGTAAGCAAGCTTCATCTGCAAAATGGGAAGAATGTGAGGCTGGGAGCTTGTTTCTTTCCTAACACTATGGTGTGAGTCACCCCGGGTTGAGCGGGGAGCCACGCAGCACGTGCCCCACTGACCTGGGCTCTCCTCTGACCAACAGCTCTGTTCTGGAGCTCCTGCTTATTTCTCAGACCTTATCCAAGTTAAAAATACAAACTAAAAATCCACCAAAGTTACTCAGGGAAAAGTGAGTAAGAACTCTGGGATTTAGCCTGAAGTGTCCAAACTCCCATTATAGAGCTTTGCCTCCACGAGAGAACACAGTGACCTTTGGAGTAAGACACTGAGGAGGAAGAAGAGATAAATGGTTATTTTTATTGTTGGCTTGTTTATTCCTTTTGTTGTAAATTCCCCTGCTCCTCTATTAGTGGTCTGGACAACCTCATAACTCAAGACACACTGAAGGCTGGATTTAGGCAGAGGAACGTAAGGTCTCTGCAGGGTGATTTTTAAGTTGCATTGTGGGAGCAGTTTTCCCAAAGTTCTCATTTAGGAGCTGGAAGATATTTACTAGAGAAGTAAAATAAAACTTTGGACACCTGAAACAATATAGCTTATATTTAAATGAAGGTTTCAAACAGCCTTGGTATCCACAGCGGGAGGCAAGGCTCCGCAAGCAGTCAACAGATTTGAAAGTCCCAACATAGGCACTAAACACACTCGTGCGGGGTAACATCATGATGGACATGTGCCAGACCCAGGTGAGTCAAAACTCTTATTCTTCCCAGGGGCAACAATCAGCTTCATGTGACAGGGGACAGGAAGGGAGAGCAGGATAAGAGGGGAACCACATAGCCATGCCCTGGACAGTGCTAATGCAAGGGTCAACGCTCCTGAGCTTCCCTGGACCTCCTCCATGCCAGCTAGACCCCAGAGATCATAGCGGGGACACTGAGTTTAAAATGACTGACTACAACAAACGGTGTTGGGTTTACTTCTGCAATCAGAAGACGTTCCTTTGGCTCTCTTGATTGCTTGCGTGTTACATGTCAGGACTAGTATCTGCTGCATCTGCTTTGTTCTTTTTTAATCTGTTGATATCAGTCATGATGTTGGGCTTCAGATAAGGTCCATGAGTGTTTCTGTTGTGAAGAGGATCGGTTTTATACTTTGAAGTTTTAAAAGGCAGGTCTAAGGAAAAAGGCTATCTGATAGGACTAGGATTTAACTTCTAATAGTGAGCACAAATCCATACTCTTAATTTATGTGCATGCATTGTGTGGTTCTATTGAACTACTCCCAAGTTGTCTTGGCAGTTAATTAAAAGTTGTTCTGGCAGTTAATTAAAAGCCAGGAATGTCAGTGTCATCACTTTGCATCTTATAAGCATGGCCTTGATTCCCCTATGCCATCAGCAACAGTTGCCCGAGAAGGATGTGCACCCTGCGCTGCGGATCTGATCCAGCCGCCACCTCCATCCTGCACTCCCGAGGACACTGGATCCAGTCCTGGGAGGGTCGAATAAATTCAAACGCACTTGTCTGGTGGGCTCTGAGGGTGCCCATCGCTCTCTGGGAAAAGTTCTCATTACCTTCCCACTGTCGCAGTTTCATAGTGTTTTGGTGTGTGTTTGAGCTCATGCACGTGGTACTATGGTTTGTGCTCCCTGCTGTCACCTAGGGGGAAAATACCACGACTTGACCTTTGGCATTTTCCATTCTCTTGCTGCAGCTCGTCCCAGCGATGGTGTGGTAACCTTCGACGATCAGATAACATGACGAACACAATGAAAGCCAGCAATGCATCCTGAGGCACACAGTGATACCACCTTCGGGCACAGGTGGCCTTGTCCGCATTGCCACAACCACCTCTCCTTAGCCCTGCCAGCTTTCCCATGCTCCCGCCTCTCAGCTAATGCTCGTTGTGGTAGCCATGCAGGATAATTGCATTTTTAAGTGATGCCTGACTTTTATTGGAGTATTTCCGTCGCCCAGAAACACTGGCCTAACTTTCAACTTCTCTTAGACTGCATGCAACAGGCGCCTTGACCAAAGCTGCATCAAGATTAAGTAAAGATCTAATTTGCCCATCTCTACCATTTACAATGTTATTGAGTTGGGTTTTTTTCTGTTCAATTCTGTCCGAAATCTTCTTGCTTTCTTCCTATGGAGTTTTGAGTTTTTCTCATGGGCTGCTTTGTGCTGCTTTTGAAGCCACTTTCAGGAACTTTTCATTCATGCTATTGATGTGCTTGTACAGATTCTTTTAAAAATGTGGATTAGTTTTGGCTTTCTTGTTTGTATTAATGGATCCAGGTTTGCCGTTGCCAAAATGGATGGAAACCACTGCTACCAATTTCAGACTGAGTGGGATCGGGTGATTTCCCCCACCCCAGAAGACATCCGTATCTCTTTTCTACTCCCCACTTATCTTTCCATGAATTTTTCTTTCTCTAAATAATTAACAAAATGTTGATTTTTCTACTGTTTAGTGGCCATTTCACACAGCCATTTAGATGATAGAAATATGTCTATGAGGAACCTGGACTCACGTGAGGAGTAAGATCCCCCCTCAATCTTCTTTTCTCTAGACTAAAGAGACCCAAGTCCCTCAGCCTTTCCTCATAAGAAAGGTGCTCCAGTCCCCTAATCATCTTTGTTGCCCTTTGCTGGACCCTCTCCAGCAGTTCCCTGTCTTAAAGGAGGAGAGGATTTCCCATTTATTCTTTTTGAGCCTACTTTTCCTCCTGCACTCTTCCATGTTGAAGCAGCTGCTCATGCATTTTACCGACTGTTCCTTGACATTAATTCCTCCACTGTGTTTTCTTAGGGAACCTCAGCAAACATTTTCTGCTCCATCCATCATACCAATGACATCAGATGCAGACAGACGCCAGGGTCTTCAGTGAGGATTAGGCTTTGAAGACCAAAAGCAAAAGCTGGCATCGCTTTGGCTGCTGGACTCCTCCGGTTAGCGAGCACCTTTGGGTCTGAAGGAATTAGCCTGTAGCGGGAGGCACGAGCAGTTTGACAGCCTGACTCATGATCTTTGTATTATTATTACTGGTAGTGAAATTATGATAGGATGCAGGAGCCTGAAACATGGATCAGGAATGTGCTTTTGAAGGGAAACTCCCAGCCATCCCGCTTTGGCTTGTGCTACGAGGCAGTCTCAGGGCACGCACACGCTGGATTTTTTGTCAGTAGCAGCTAAACTGGAAGGTGTGAAGGGTGGCCGTTCCCTGGGAGCGGGCTAAAGGCACCCTAGAAAAGATCCCCTAAAATATGTGCGATGTGGATGGTGCGTCCTCAGCTCCAGCTGTGTTGCTCCATGAATCTACTCACACTACCTCTCTGCTTGCGAGCACCAGCGCGGCCACGCATTGCACGGGCACATAGGTACGTGCCTCTTGTCAGCAGTATTGTCTGGTTAACTCGGTCTTCCTGAGGTTCCTGAAAGGCCACAGGTGTTGCGGGATAGATGCAAAGCATAGCCACTGCTTTAGGCAGTGGTTTCATTTTGGTTCCCAGTAGCAAAGTGATGATCGTTGGTGGTGATTGTATGATCATTTAATTCTAACTACTTCTAAGAAGTTGAAGATGATGAGGAACTCTAAAGGAAGTTACTGAAAATTAGTGTTGTGACAAAGGGAAAATTATCTGAAATATTTCCCATTGATATGGCATATAGTTTTTGTTTAAGGTGTGTGATTTGCTAGAACAAAACAGGCTGTCTGAAGGTCCAAGCAGGAAAGGTAACACACGTAACCTTACAAAAAGCATCTTATAGCTTTTTATAAGCTAGTTATAAGGTAATATACCTTGCTTAGCTTTCTTCGGTCAAAAAGCAGTTTATCCAGAGTAACAGTAGGATTAAAAAGAATGGACTTACAGACCAGAAAAAGATGGGTTCCCTGTTTGCCAGAGACTGTGCGGGAGTCAGGAACAGCTGGGAGGAGGGCAACAGGGCAGTCTGCTGCTTCTGCGTATGGTGTCATGGCTTAGAGAAAGCGTACCAAAACTTGCAAAAAGGAGCATCTGTGTTTGGTGAACTTGGTGTATTGCTTTTTCTCCTGTAAGATGTGTAACTCTCTGGTAAGGAATTCAATAGTGTGATGTGAAAAGCTTGTTTTCTCAAAAATCTACCTCTCCGATGACAGCTTTGGAAACTGAAGGGACTTGTAGGTAGGAAGTTGAGTTGAGCTTGCCTTCTTATGGTTGAAGAATGAGGGACACGCTGCCCTTGTTCTGAAGATGCTGAAGAGCAGGAGAGTTGTCCCAGTTAGAGTAATCCACAGGAAATCAGATGTGTATCCTGACAAGAGGGAGTTCAAAGACAGCCTGACTGCACTAGTGTTGTGCCTAGCTAGGCGGGAAACACTAAACACGAAACACCAGTGCTGCTGGTTGGTGATATGGATGTTGGGATGGAGTGCACCCTCAGCAAGTTTGCCGATGACACCAAGCTATGTGGAGTGGTCGACATGCTGGAGGGTAGGGATGCCATCCAGAGGAACTTTTTGCAAGGGCGTGGTGATAGGATGAGAGGGAATGGCTTCAAACTGGAAGAGGGCCGATTTAGAATAGATATTAGGAAAGTTTTTTTCACTTTGAGGGTGGTGAGACACTGGAACAAATTGCCCAGGGAAGTTGTGGAGACCCCATCCCTGGAGGTGTTCAAGGCCAGGCTGGATGGGGCTTTGAGCAACCTGGTCTAGTGGGAGGTGTCCTTGCCCATGGCAGGGCGGTTGGAAAGAGATGATCTTCAAGTTCCCTTCCAATCCAAACCATGCTATGATTCTGTGATTCTATTTTGGCCAAAGTAGTGCAAGTCTTGGAAGTATGCCAGAAAGCAGTACCATGCTGGGAACATTTTTCTGTGAGCAAATACCGTTAGCCCACTTTGCATGCTGAGGTGGGGAAATGTGGCTCAGGAAAAGCACTTTGTTGGAGACTTTGGTGCCTGTTGAAGACCTCTTGCACACTAGTTTGTTAGGACATCTCACACTCTCCTCTAAAGCTCCCTGGGCTATAGTGTCCGTCAGGGCTACCCAGGCTGTTGGTCATCTTGATTTGGGCACTTCTATTGTTATCCTCCTCCCACATAGACACTCTTTTAACTCTTCTCCACATCTCTTAGTATTGTATTAAGACAACTCAAAGCTGAAAATAGTTTTTGAAATGACTGAATGTTAGACCTGCAAAATATTACTGTACTTTATTGATAATCTTGTTTCCATAATAAAAATATTTAATACAAAGTATGATATACTGCATGAGCTTCACATAAATATTTCCATTATATCGCTGATACAGATCAGAAAAATTTCAGTATGCACATCCTGCAAATGCAAGTGTAATTGATACAAGGTATGTATCTTAATGTACATCTTGAGTAAACATAAGAAAACCATACCCTAATGGAAAACAGACTTTGTCTTACAATGTGCAATCATACTTTAACATCTAAACTGGACTTTGGGTTTAGAAAACAAATCTTAAATCAGTCCTATTCAGAGGACAAATCACAGTTCACATACTTGTAAAAAACTTTTGTTCTAGGAAAGCCTTTTGTGGAAAAGCTTGGGAAACTCCATCCAGCTACAGTGGTGGAGGGGTGGGAAAGGACGGATTGAGGTATCAGTTCAAACAATCTGAGGAAAAAGTTGAATAAACATTGAAGACAACAGAATAGAAACCAGACGCCAAATATTAATTCATGGGGTCTTCAAAGGGGATTTTGGGATTTATTTTAATTGTTGTTGAAAGAAAAAGATTAATTTTTGGATGAAAAATGTATGCAAATTCAGCTGTGATCAACTGTAAAAAAGAATATGTTTCCTACTCAAAGCACAAAAAAGCAAAGCAAAGAAACCCTTAATATCAACTCTTTAATCCCCTGTGGTGGCCTTTAACCTGGGTTTGGGCAGGAAAACAAAAAGAAAGCTACATGAGAACAATAAAAAATGTAGCACCCGAATCAAAGGACACGAATCTGGTGCAAAAATGGGAAATCTCGAGGGAGTGATGTGATATGTAAACCAGAGAACAATGGGGCTGCTCCCCAGTGTCCGAAATAATGTTTGGAGTAGGAGGAATAAATAGGAAGGACCTCTCCGTCCAGTTGGCCGGCCCCACAAGGACTGCGTGGGCGCCACGAGGTCGTGAGGGAATAAACGCAAAGGCTGCAAAAATGAAGGTGTATATATAGATATAGTGTGCAATATATTAACCGACGATGTTCAGTAGGAGCTGCGGGGCAGACTTGCTGAACGTCTCTCCAAAAAGACAGAACAGGAATCACAGAAAAGCACAGTAAGGGTTTGTTCCTGCTCAACGAGAAGGAAAGAGACAGCTGGGGCTTTTGTTAAATAAAGGACAGGAGCTTCCCCAGAGCTGAACTCGGGCGATTTTAACTACTTGGGTACCTCCCGGGGAAGTGTGGCGGGCCGGGACGCCAGCAGAGATGGTGGGCAGGAAAACGCCATTCTGGACGTCGTACCACCGGCGGGAGGGAGCCGATGGAGAAGGCAGGGCAGACGGGAGGGTAAGTAAAAGACAACATGGCACTATTGAGTCCTTCGCTGCATGTAAAAGAGTGAGAGCGGAGAAATGGCGGGCTGGTGGGCTTTAAAAAAAATATAACCCGAGCTGCCTCACGTTAACAAACATCCTGTGGGAAAGTTAATAGCTGCTGAAAGAGAGTCCATAAAGCAAAATGACAAGTTGTCCTGCCACGGTGGGAAGACAAGACACAGCGTGGGTGCATCAGACACTCCTCAGCGACCCCAGAACCGAGAGAGGCACGACGACAAAAATAAATCTTAGGAATAAACCATTTACAACGGTGCCAGTGCCTGGGGGACGGTGGAAGGTCTGTCCCCTTTCCCAGACGGGAAGCTCAGGCTGCCCGGCTTCGGGCGAGGGCAGCTTTGTGACAAGGAGGGGTGTCTTTAACCCGCCCTGTTCACCGAGGGGTGCCCAACGCCGAGGCAAGTTTTTTTTTTGGCTGAAAAGGCGGGCAGGGCGCCAGCAGCCGACACAAGGGCTTAGATCAACTCAATTCGACGAGCACTGTCCGAGGCGGGTGGTAGCGGAGGGCCTGGGAAGGAAGGAAAGAAGGAAGGCCGAGGGCCGGCGAAGTCCGCCTCGCCTCAGCCCACGCCAGCCCCGGGCGGAGGCGCACCCCCGCCC